TGAAACGATGATAGTCCAGACACAGTATTACACTGTTTATTAAACTCAGAGTCTCGAATTGTCAGGATAGCTTCAGTACTATAGTGCGCTGCTCATATATGAGCAGCGCTTCACTCCCCAACCCTAATTAGCACCCGAAACACCCCCTGAGCCCTGAAACACCAAGCGCCACCCAAATACAGCCTCCTGGGGGCAGCGCCACCCTGAAACAGGCCTCTGAGGCCAGGCGCCACTCAGAGCATGAAGAAGAAGACCAGCACCACAGTATCTGATGATGACGAAGTGTCGGGAGGCTTCCCGGGTGGAAGCCTGCAGCAGCGCCACCAAACCCTGACAAGATGACCTCTGAGATGAAGAAGCTGCAGCTATGGCTGCAGCACAAACCCTCTGGGATCCCACTCCGGAGGAGGGTCCAGCAGGGCACCAATCTCTCTCGCCTTCAGCAGACCTCGATAACCCAGACCTCTGTCAGCCCCTGCGTGCTGGCAGAGTACAGCGCAGGTCCCAGCTATGGCCTGCAATCCGAAGGTCTGGCTATGCTCGTCTCCTTCCACGCTGAGCCGTCACCACTTCCGGTTCACGCGTAGTGCAGCAGCGATGTACACGGTACCAACCGCCAAAAGCCCTGAACCGATGTGCCCATCCTACTTCTAGCCTACACCGACCTAGACCGGACTGACTGACCGACCGGTACCGTATCTGTTTCGGCCTCTCGGCCTCTACCGGACCCGGCTATAGGCTATAGGACCGTCTATTCAGATTAGGCCCATAGGGCCTGTCTGTCTAGGGGTAGCCCGGGCCTGCTATCCGCAGTTAGGGTAGCTGTAGGGAATCAGGTTAATACCGGGCCTGTATTTTCCCGGATTTGCAGATATGTCCCTCGAGAATTTCCCTCACAGGTAGGTCTCTCGGTTAGTCCTCAGCCAAACAAAATTACGAATCTGTCCTACCTATAGTACAGCCTCGACAGAGAGAGGCTACAGGCGACCAGAAAACAGCAAGTCATTGCACATATCAGTCAAAGAAGGCAGCTGCCCACAGACCATGGAGCTACCAAAAGGACTTCTGTCTGATGGCACTGGTTCGTAAAATCACCAGTATGGCAGACTCTGTTTTGTCACACCTAAATGTCTTCAAAAGAGTGTCCCCCTTGTATACTGCTGCAAGTTTCAGAGGAGGGGGGTTCCTACGGGTGGTTTAAAGCATTGAAGTATTGAACATAATATGACCTTGTGTGGATTCTTCGAGACATGGAAAACCACTGTCCTCTCAGCATAATTTCTGCGTATTATTAGCCTTGGCCCCTCTGGAGGCAGTAACTCCATAAAACAGTTAAAACCACAAGGGGAAACGTGCACACATGACACCAGTTCAAAGGGTAGGTGGTGAACGGATGGAAATGACTGGCTGATCTGTGTATGCATACGTTTGTGTGTGTGTGTGTGTGTGTTTGTGTGTGTGTGTGTGTGTGTGTGTGCTGCTCTTCAGCACAAGTCATACTGCGAACGACCACCCCCCAGGAGAACACCACGCACATGAACTTGAAGACGATTTTCAAATAACTCCCCACCAAGTGGAAACGGAATCAACTTATGACACTCATTGAAACACCACTAAGACGAGCACACAAGGTAGGAAAAAACAGCAGACAAAAACAGCCAGGTAAAAAGCAGCCAGACAAGAGGCAACACATAAGCTGGACGGCACGGGAGAGGTGGGGGGGCAGACAACAGAGCCGCTCAAGACAAGGGAAAGACAACCACAACAAACAAGAAAATAAGGAGCAAAAAAAGAAAAAAGCTGATGATGATAGATTGTTTCGTCGGACTTGCACCGATTCATTAGGAGGCTGAACCCTCGACAATCTGTGGAATCCCCATGTTGATGTTTTGGGTCATGAACCCTTTGACCTTCATTGAAAGCAGACTGCGAGAATGCAACACAAACAGAACATAGCAGCAGGCAACTACTCAGCGAAGCACCAGGCAACACAGCTAACTGTATGGAATGACAGCGCAAGCGGCCCGGCAGGATGGAAGCCACACAGCGAAGCACAAGGCAGCACTGCCAAAGCAGCCAAACTACACGGCACACAAGCAAGATGCACTGGAAGACAAGGCACACGGATGGGCAGCAAGGTAACAGCGCAGCGAAGGACAAGGCAGCACTCACGACACAGCTAAACTACACAGCAACTCACCAGCTGCAAAGAGCGACATGAGGAGCAAGCGGGATGGGCAGCAAGGCAGCCACGGAGCGCAGACAAGGTAGCCAACACATCCAACACGGAGCAAAGCCATCCAAGACCTACTCGCACCACAAGAAGAACCCTGCAAACTGTTGGTTCCCACCACCCGCTGAGCCAGGAAGCCACTCCGACAGACATCTACTATCACCCATAGACCATATGCAGCACAGACATCACAGACAGAGCGCCCTCCCTGTTAGTAAGTGCAACCAGACTCGTCCTCGTCCTTACTCAGCATGCATGAAAACAGATGGCAATCACACCGGCGCCAGGCGCCCACACAAAGCTCAGAGATATCGAGGCCAAGTTCAGATTCAAACTTGCTTCCGATAGCTATGGCGCCTGTGTGCCCACATAACACCCAGCGGACACTGTATCCCCAGTAACTGTTCACACGCCCGCTACTCTGGATCTCCCTGGATGTCCCACGCACACACACACTTCACACAACACTCTCACTCGTACTCGCTACAGCATATCTCTCACCTACGGCAGCTATGGCTGCCTTCTACCTCCTAGCTACTAGCGGCTATGGCCGCTTCGTCTCCCTCGCAGCCCACTTCTCCTTTGGGCACCTGCCGACCACCTTGCACAAGACGCTCAGGCAGCGCTTCCACACGGCTCACAGGCAGAATAACTGGACTCTGCCTCTTGATTTATACTTCGGATGGTCGCTGGTCTGCTCCTTTCCACCGGGCCCAGGGTGCACACAGTCCCACATGGTA